TCAACTCTGTACATCCCCCCCCGATTGCAAATCACCCATCCCCTCAACCTCAGCCAAAAAACACATACACACCCCACCAAAATCCACTACTACTTTTTCCAGCCCCCCTCTCACCACTTCCCCCTAGATCCCCTCACCCCCAAATGCCTCTCTTCTGTCTCCAAACCAAATTGTGTGTGCGTGCCCCTGTGTGTGTGTGTGTGTGTGCGTGTACATATATATCTATATAATATACATATAATATATGAGCCTTGACATTGCGTGCGCGTGTGTGCGTGCATGTGTGTGTACGTGTGTATGTGTGTGTATGTGTGTGCATGTGTGTGTGTGTGTGTGTGTGTGTGTGTGTGTGTGTGTGTGTGTGTGTGTGTACATATATATATAATATACATATAATATATGAGTGTTGAGCTTGTGTGTGTGTGTGTGTGCATGTGTGTGTGTGTGTGTGTGTGTGTGTGTGTGTGTGTGTGTGTGTGGGTGTGTGTGTACATATATATATATAATATACATATAATATATGAGTGTTGAGCTTGTGTGTGTGTGTGTGTGCATGTGTGTGTATGTGTGTGCATGTGTGTGTATGTGTGTGCATGTGTGTGTGTGTGTGTGTGCGTGTGTGTGTGTGTGTACATATATATATATAATATACATATAATATATGATTGTTGAGCTTGTGTGTGTGTGTGTGCATGTGTGTGTGTGTGTGTGTGTGTGTGTGTGTGTGTGTGTGGTCTAATTTATTATGTACATGAGAAATCTATTCAATTAAAACGTCTCAATGACAGAGTCAGACAGTGCTCTTTCTACCGAAAGTAGCCCCTTGTTAAAAACTAAACATGCCTAATAAAAATTATGCCTCTACTTTCACGAGTTCTCACTTTTAATCTGGGTGGTCAAAGCATATTTTTCTTTACCGCACAAAGCCAAATAATCAAGGTAAGCGTATGGTTAGGAGGAAATAAAAGTACATGGGCAAAAATGAATTTGGTCTAACGTGTTCATAAAATGCTGTTACCTTGCAAAAAATAAATCATTCTTTATCTAAGATGAATCTTTAAGAAATCTACTACATACAACAGGGGCATAAACAGCAAGAAAGTAAACGCCTGAACTTGCCGGTTTCAGATCTTGATAGAAGCAGCGACCGCCTGCCTCATGCTTGAAATAGTCACAAGCGAAAATGTCCACAACACTATGGCATAGATGATGACCATGGGGATGTAGACGAGTTGTCACGTTGTCATCCGAATGTATTTCCTCAGAAAATGCGAAGTGTTCACAAGTCTTGGAAGTGAGGAAAACTGATGTCAGGTTGATTCTCTGGTCAACACACGATTTTGGTTTTCAGTTTCTTCAGCACTTTCCCTCTAGAATGCAGATTTCTGTATTCTTCCTTGATGTGAGAGCATTTACGACGTTTTGGCGCAGACACAGGGGCGGGAGACTCGTCGATGACGTCACGCAGGGTATGATTCTCTGGCCGCCTGTGATCGTTGAGTCGTTGATGAATTTCCGAGATCGAGGCTCGCTCTGCCGGTGAGGGACACAGGAGGCGTTCAGCGCATACTCTGTGAATGTCTGGCACAGACTCGGCACCTCTCAATAACTCCAGGTAGTCCAAGTCTTTGACTGGGTATTCGTAGAGTGACAAGGCACAGACAAAGACTCCCAGCGAGAAGCTTTCGAGTTTAAAGGCATCCTCCACAGGTTGACCTTTGCTGTACTCAGGAGCGTGGTATTCGGGAGTCCCGCCCCAACGTTTACAACTCTTGTTGGGAATGAGCTGAGCGTGACCGAAGTCGCATAATTTAGCGTTTCCTTGCATGTCTATCAACACGTTTTCAAGCTTGACGTCTCCGTGAACGATGTGCCGGTCGTGGAGATATAGCAAGGCGTCGACGACCTGAGTAAAGTACTTGGTGACCTCAGCGTCCGTGAGACAAGTCATTGCTTCAAAGAGGTCCGTGGGGTGGTATTCCATCGCTATGACAAATTCTCCTGGACATGAGAGCGCTTTATCAACTTGGATGATGTTGGGGTGTTGTACGTTTTGGAGAAATCGAATCTCATTGCAGAAATAGAAATGCTTCTTACGGTAATTGCGCTCACCCTCAAGAAACATGAGTCTTTTCAAAGCCTTTTTCTTGCCTGGGTCGTTTACATCTGTAGCTACAACGACTTGGCAAGAACCGCCTTTCGCTATTTCCGTGTCTTCTTTCAAACCAAGCGCCTCTGTTGCACTGACCGAGTAGGTCTCGTAGACCTCGGGGGGAAGGTTCATCATAGTGGACATAGTGAAGCTCTGCACGATATAGCACCGACAACAAACTACACCAAGCACTTGCTCGAAGAAAAATACACGTGAAAAGTCACACAGTTCGTATTTTCTTGTCAGCCGCTAACAAGCACTTTGTGTCACAGTTGATAAAGTACACACCAAAGTCCAGAAATGAACTAAAGTTTTTACTGGTCAAACGTCCTGACGTGTAAGAGTCCCAGAAATAATCGCAATGACAGCTTGTTAACACAGCGATATAACTCCCAGAAGTAGAAAACAGCGGACCTGAAGCACAATGATAGTACTCCCAGAAGTATACAACAGTGGACTTGAACCACAACGATATAACTCCCAGAAGTTTACTACAGAGTACTTGAAGCACAAGGATAATACTCTCAGAAGTAGAAAACTGTGTCTTTGAAGCCACAAAAAACTGTTGAGAAACTACCTCCACAACAGAAAAAGCAGTGTCGCTCAGGAGATGAAATCCAAAAGTGACGCAAATTCAAGGACAGAATTGCAAGTAAGCAAATTTTTGTCTCGTTCAAGCTTCGGGACAGAACGAGAACATAATTTGACCAATCAGCTTTCTTAAATGTGATGTAATTTAAAAATGGAACAAAGTCACCTGGTCAGATGGCTGGTCAGCGGCCATGTCCTCAGGCGAATTGTTCGTGACTGACACGCGACTCAAACAATCAGATGGCGTCTCTACCAGGCGCACCCATCCATAACTAGAGGTACGTGAGAGCGTTCATAGCAGGAAAGGCCCAGGCAATACCTTTGTTACGACATAATCCTTTTCTTATCAAAACTGTGAAAAAAAACATGAAAAGGTTTGCCCAGTTCTCCCTGTGCGTAATATTCTATGGTAAAATCTGACACCTGATAAGCGTTGTGGTGTTGTGGTTAATCTCTTCTCTATGTACGTTAAGGGCATGAGTTCCCGCTACAGGGACATTTTTTGTCAAGTGCACACATACAAATACACGTCATATACACACACACACACACACACACACATATAGATAGATAGATAGATAGATAGATAGATAGATAGATAGATAGATAGATAGATATAGATAGATAGATAGATATAGATAGATATATAAATGCCAATTTCGTATTTGTAAGATTGAAATCGGGCTATTTATTAGTGACCACTCCATCATCGGTTTGATTTCGTTTTCCAGGGGTGGGAGGAAGGAGGTAGAGAGAGAGGGGGGAGGAGATGTAGAGGGGAGAAAAACAAAGTAAAGTGAATATGGAAGAAGAAAGAGAGCCGTGGGGAGGGGGGAATCCATGCACTGGCCCTGTGAGAAGGTACTTTGTCATGTAAAGCTGTCTACTCGACTTAGACCATGACGAAAATAAAGTAAGGTGTGACATTCCAGCACTTGCATCATATAGTCATCTTAACGATGATGTTTGTTGATATTCGCCAGAGGGTTTTTATTGAAAAGGGGGGCTTTGTTCATTCCAGCCAGACCACCCCAAACGTAGAAGTTTCGTGGCCTCTATTCTTCTCCAACAGATGGTAGTGTCCAAAATCTAACCAACTTAGTTCATGCGCAAAATGGCTCGTGCTCTACTGGAACGCAATAGCTCCTACATAAAATATTGACAGACACATTTGATGTTAAGTCCAGGTTCTGCATGGTTATTTGTAACTGCTCTGTTTTCCAATCTGTTCAAAAATATCTTATTAAAATATTGTTAACTGTAGAGATAGAAATATTCTCCATTCATTTGTCATTTAATACTAGTCCTTTCTTTTCAAGCTGATGCACCTCAACACACACAAGAAAACACTTTTAAGTTTCTTTGATTAGTTGCAATTTTGATTTGTCACAAGTCTGATTTTTATACTTTAATTTTAAGTAACCATATCTCTGGCGACTTTTATTGTGTAATAAAAAAAGTTGATGTGTCAGAAAATGTAGAAATCATTTAGCTTTAATGTTCTATTCTGTATAAACGAGTAGTGCAAGGCTTTAAACACTATGATTAGGTGAATACATTTTCAAGTTTCTTTTGGACGCAGCTGTATATAACATATCATTATATAATACATCATTATATACTGTAGTCGATCCTGTGTCAGACGACCACCCGATGTTGGGGAGAAAAGTGGCTGTTTTATACAGGTTGCCGTTTTAGACTCGACTGAACAAAATGAAGAAAACAGACTATAATTTGACTATTTGCATGGGGGCTCTCGTGGTCGAGAGGGTATTGTGTTCGCCTCTCATTCAATCGGTCCCGGATTCGAATCAGGACAACGACTTACCCCCCCCCCCCCCCCCGCCCCCCCAAAAAACACCTTTAATCTAGAAATACTATCAAGAGACGGTCGTAGGCTAGGGACTGCCGTGAGGCTAATCGAAATGTTTTTTTTAATCTTTTGGAAAGGGAGGGATAGAAAGGTTTTGGGGAGGGGGGTTGTTGTTGTTGTTGTTGTTGTTGTTGTTGTTGTTGTTGTTGTTGTTGTTGTTGTTGTTGTAGTCGTTGTTGTTGCTGTTGTTGTGGTTGCTGTTGTTGTGGTTGCTGTTGTTTTTGTTGTTCTTGTTCTTGTTGTTCTTGTTCTTGTTCTTGTTTAAAATAGTTTTACTGGTTTTGTACATTGGTAAAACGAAACGAAATTTGTTGTCGGACGAGGACAACAGAGTGCCATCATAAAACAAACAAATGGGTCACTACTCCTCAGTGATCGAGCGGCACTTCTGTCACAAGTTCATGGTGACGTCTGTTGTTACGGACGAGGTAAACAAAGAGACATGTGACTTTGAGTTGTGGGCGGGCCAAGGAGGTTATCAATAGGTGAGACAGCGTGGTGAATGCAGGCGCTCCTCAAAACAGTGAAATCAAACAAAACGGCAGTTTTTTCTGGGCGTTGGACAATTTACAAAATAATCTTTTTTTTTTCTTTTTTTTTTGGGGGGGGGAGTGGGTTCAACACCATTTATGTCGTTTTAAAAACGCATTTCGTGTGGATGTTACCGAAAAACGTTCATTAAAGGCGTACAAAAAAATGTAAATATCCACTGTCCAGGGACACTCCAGCTTTGAAAGATACCAAACTTCAGCAGCTAATTTTCTCGATAAGCTTACCTCTCACACGAGGCGACCCCCACCTCCTTCAATCGCAAATATATCGACTTCTCTTCAAGATACATTAGTAGATGTATATTTTTTTTGCCAAATGAAAGGCAAAGGAACAAGCCTTAAGATTGTACCAATAATTCTGTATGCCCCAAAAATTGCGCCTGGTTTCCCCGGGTAGTGAAATATAAGGTCAATAGGGCGGGCTTATAGTTATGTTGGACCACACGCCCCCCTCACCAACAGATGAAATCTATCTATCTATCTATCTATCTATCTATCTATCTATCTATCTATCTATCTATCTATGTTTTAATTAGTATTTTACGACACTTGCAACTGCAAAAGGTCATATGAGCGCGGGGGACACTTTAAACATTTTTTAAATTTTTAGTAGAGGTTTTACGGCGCTCGCAACTGTATAAGGTCATATGAGCGACAGAAGATTAGAGGTTGGTAGGAAATTTTTGATTTTGCCAAGGTTGGCAGCCGAAGCTTACTTTTACTGATTTTGGACCACCAAGGGATCTTTAACGTGCACAAACTGCCATGATAAAACAAACAAATGGGTCACTACTACTCAGTGATCGAGCGACACTTCTCTCACAAGTTCATGTTGATGTCTGTTGTTACGGACGAGGTAAACAAAGAGACATGTGACTTTGAGTTGTGGGCGGGCCAAGGAGGTTATAAATAGGTGAGACATTGTGGTAAATGTATCCCTCGTCAAAACAGTGAAATCAAAGAAACCGGCATTTTTTCTGGGCGTGCCTCTGAGATGTTTCGCTCATATTCGAGAAGGCTGTGTTCTAGTTCTTACCTACCCTAAGATCAGAGTGTGACTGAAAGACAGCAGTAAGAAGGAGTCTAAGGAGTAGCTGTAGAAAGGCTGCAGAAAGAGTCAAAAGCCCAGTGGAGGTGGCAAGGGAGGTGTGGGGATAGGGACAGGATGTGGACACGAAAGCAGACGACAGAACATTGTTAGAAAGCAATAAATGATGTGAAAAGAGACAATTCTACGAGTATCTATATGAGCTCATGCAGCTTCTGAGTGTCCTTTTCCTTTCCCACTTAGTAAAAATGTGCTAGATGTGTAAAATCCTGTTTTAAGAGCTGAGTGTCGTAAATATGTATTTGGGGCTCGTGGCCTAAAGGTTAAGGTGTTCGCCTCTCATTCAATAGGTCCAGGGTTTGAATCCGGATAACGACGGAACATATTCTTCTCTAAAATTTTCTCCTTTCACATCCTTTCCTGCTGTTCTATCGTCTACTTTCGTCTCCGCTTTCTAAATATCGAAGATGGTGCCCAAAAACAAAGAACTTCTCTAAATTAGAGCTTTTAAAAATGCCACCTTCCGAACAACGAATAATAACTCACGAAATTCTTTTACCAATCTATCAATTTAGTCTGTACGACAATTAAAAAAAAATTTTTGTGCTTTTCTTCCATGTAATTGTCAACCCACTCTATTTCAAAAGTTGTTTTAACCAATAAAAGCGTGCCGAGCTTGGGAAACAAGAATTCATGAAGGTGGTAGTGACGGAGAGAGAGAGAGAGAGAGAGAGAGAGAGAGAGAGAGAGAGAGAGAGAGAGAGAGAGAGAGAGAGAGAGAGAGAGAGAGAGAGAGAGAGAGAGAGAGAGAGAGACTGACTGACCGACACTTACATCATAATATTATTATTGTTATGTCACTCAATGACTTTTCGTGAGATAAAAATAAATACGTATTACTTGCGTTGCTGTTAACTGGGTCCGATCATGTTGGGTTGGTACCGCCCACTGCTGTTTGCCCAAGTTGACCGCCCGGTGACAATAACTTTTCAGCTGCTGGTGAGGGAATTGTGTGGTCTGTTATAACCTATAAGCCCCGCCCACAACTCATACACAAATCGTTAGTGAGGTGACCAGTCAC